TATTTTCATTATTATCAACATTAATAGCTAATGTTACCATCATAATAGTAATGATAATAATAATAATAATTATTATTATTATTATTATTATTATTATTATTATTACTATTACTATTACTATTGCTATTACTATTATTATTATTATTATTATTATTATTATTATTATTATTATTATTATTATTATTATTATTATTATTATTATTATTATTATTATTATTATCATTATTATTATTATCATTATTATTATCATTATCATTATTATCATTACTGGTAATGATAACGATAGTATTACTACTTCTACCAATGCAACTAATAATACTATCACTACTACCACTACTATGACTACTACTACTGCTGCTGCCGATGTTGATGCTACTACTGCTACTACAATTACTAATACCACTACAAGTGCTACTACCATTGCTATAACTACTACTTCTGCTGCTACTGCTACTACACTACTACTACTGCTATTATTACTGATGATATCACCATCACCATTACGACTGTTATTGTTACCGATATTGCATAAATAAAGGTTAAACACCAGTTACGTGCTTTCCCAATTAAGGAAAAATGTGAGACATCATGTAAGAACATTTAAAATGTACGCGCGGTGAGGGTATTATCTCGACACTATGCGAGAGAACAGTATTTTGCCTTTGGACCAGCCTAGTGTTCCCGCAGTCAAAATATAGATATTTCCTCGCCTGGTCGTTGCACCTGGATGGTAAGCTGCAGTTAATGGGCCATTTGCAGAGCTTGTCATGTAGCAACTGTGCGATATTCGGTCCGTTCGGAGGACTCAATTTGCCGACAATATCGAATTAAGTCCACGAGTATGTGATCTGATCTTCCTAATGATCGTGTGTCGACGAACGTTATTGAAATATGCTAGATTAAATAAACGCCAGGGAGATTTGGCGAGGATATCCCTCGGTCGAGGATACACGAACATGAGATCGGGAGAATCCCCTCGCAGCTGCACAGGTGCAAATAGTGTGACTGTTTGCTACTGTATCAATGTTGCTGCACAGATATTGTCTCCTTGTTTCGCCCACTTCAGAAAGCGGGTAAATCGGATATTGTTAAATCCCCTAAAGGCTTATTCTATGAAGCCACAGGAACAGCGTGTGTTGACTTTACTCATAATGAGGCGGAGAGCCGGTGCCTGAGGCGGATAGCTGACGCAGGGAATGAGAGGCAGACCGAGGAGAAGGGGTGATGAAGACAGGGAAGATAGCAACAGACTGGCAGAGCAAAACGAACTTAGAGTTCACTGCAGGAGGAGGAAAGAAGAACAGAGAAAGGGGAGAGAGAAAGGAGGATAGAAGCAAAGAGGGAAAGGGAGGCAAGTTGCCCCTCGTCTCGCGATAAATCAGGCAGGGGCTGACGGGCCTCGTGCTTGGCCGATCTCTGCCTCCTCCCCCGCTTGCCCGGAGCTTGTAAGTTCCCCGGCAAGTCCCAACAAGACATATATCATGGCAGCGCCCCGTCACACACGTCACGTGCGTCACGCTGGCACGCCCGGGGGAGGAAAGGGACAGACGGCGTAACGAGTTTTTGTGCCCCTGCACTTCCCCTTCCCCCTTTTGGGAGCCGAGGGCGTGCTAGTCGACACTCCATATCCCTAACACTTTCATTATCTAATCAAACCCTATCAGAACCGCGCATCTAGTTATTTGAACCAATTTAATCATCATTTACACTTATCATAATTGCAGGTTAATTGTATTGCCGCATTATGCTGCAGTATTCAAGCCTGGTCACTAATGCTGTTGTTGTCTTCCTCTTTCGGCCGTTTCTGTTGTTGTTGCTCTTCTTAAAGCTGATCTTTTCTTGTTTTTCATGCGCTTTTCTGTTGCCAGTACGTACGTTTCTGTTGCTGTTGCTAGCTGCAGGCGCTGCCACTGCCCCACGGCGTAGAAGTTGAGCTCGCGCTTTGTCCGTGGTCCGGTGGCCGCCGCGGAGCCTGTTTATTAGTTGGATTGCTTTGGATCGAGCTGAATCAACTTTTAGTGAGAATTTACCCATATCTGAAGAACTGGACGTCCTCGGCGGCCGAACGCATCGACCAGGAGAGCCGCTGCTCGCCAGGTAAATGTGCGTCGGATTTAGGCACTGACGCGCGCTCCCGAGATTACGATTAATGCGCGGAAATGGCTGTTAGTCAAAGTTCCTACCGAGGCCAGAAAAGCCTCCGTAAGCGGGTGGCCGAGGGCGATACAACCATCATGCTCCATTAGAGGGGTCACGCACCTCCGGCGAGGTCACGCACCAACGAGAATAAAGGGGTCACGCCTGCGAACCCTCGGGAGCCAAGTTTCCCCTCGTATAAAAGGCTCCGCCGTCCCGAAATTAAAAACTTTCCATACATGTTCCTCGGTGGTCAGCCCAGGAGGGGAGGCGAGGCGGTTCAGACGCCGAGGGGAAAAGAGGGAAGCTCTCCCAGGCTTTCCAAAGCTTTAGTGCCGCGAGGGCATCTGCTCTTCCGTTCTGCCAGATGGTTTCGTCTATGATTCCTTCTCTCTCTCTCTCTCTCTCTCTCTCTCTCTCTCTCTCTCTCTCTCTCTCTCTCTCTCTCTCTCTCTCTCTCTCTCTCTCTCTCTCTCTCTCTCTCAATCTCCCCCCTCTATCTCTCTCTCAATCACCCCCCCCCCCCCTCTCTCTCTCTCTCTCTCTCTCTCTCTCTCTCTCTCTCTCTCTCTCACTCTCTTTCTCTTTCTCATCCCCCCCTCTCTCTCTCTAACTCAATTCTCGCCTTCCCCCTCCCCTCCCTTTCCTCTCCCTCCTCCCCTCCCCATCCCCTCCCCTCCCCCTTCCATTAACCTTTCCCTCCCTCTCCCCTTCCCATCTCCCTCTTCTTCTCCTTGTGTTTGCCCTCCCCCTCCTATTAACCTTTCCCTCCCTCTACCCTCTCCTCTCCCTCTCCCTCCCCTCTCCCTCTCCTTCACTTTTCCCTCCCCCTCCCATTAACCTTTCCCTCCATCTCCCCTTTCCCCTCTCTCTCCCTCTCTTTTTTCCCCTCTCCATCCCATCCCCTCTCCCTCCCCTCTCATCTCCTTCTCTCTCTCCCTCTCTCTCTCCCTCTCTCCCTCCCCTCTCATCTCCCTCTCTCTCTCCCTCTCTCCCTCCCTCTCTCCCCCTCTCATCTCCCTCTCTCTCTCCTCTCCTCCCCCTCTCCATCCCATCCCCTCTCCCTCCCCCTCTCATCTCCCTCTCTCTCTCCCCTCTCCATCCCATCCCCTCTCCTTCCCCCTCTCATCTCCCTCTCTCTCTCCCCTCTCCATCCCATCCCCTCTCCCTCCCCCTCTCATCTCCCTCTCTCTCCCCCCTCTCCATCCCATCCCCTCTCCCTCCCCCTCTCATCTCCCTCTCTCTTCCCCCTCTCCATCCCATCCCCTCTCTCTCCCCCTCTCATCTCCCTCTCTCTCTCCCTCTCTCTCTCCCTCTCTCCCTCCGGCCACCCAGAAGCACATGGTAAACCCTTTTGACCTTAAGATGCTTGCGTCGAACGTACAAGGAGGGAGCACAGATGAGGCAGCGAGGAAATTGGAAAATTAGTCGAGGAAAGAGAGGGAAGGAAGAGGTAAATAATATAAAGATGAACTGCCATAAGGATCTTGGCCCTTATCATCACTATTTGTATTGCCATCAACAGTCATTTTAATATCATTATTGTTATTACTCCTATTACTACTATTATTACTGATATTATAATCAGTATAATGCATTAACGTTATTACTATTATCATTATTATCATTATTGTTATTAATGTTATCATTATCATTATTATCATTATTATTATTATTATTATTATTATTATTATTATTATTATTATTGTGATTATTATTATTATTATTATTATTATTATTATTATTATTATTATTATTATTATTATTATTATTATTATTATTATTATTATCATTATTATTACTATTATTATTATCATTATTGTTATTGTTATAATAATAATAATAATAATAATAATAATTATTATTATTATTATTATCCTTATTATTATTGTTATAATAATAATAATAATAATAATTATTATTATTATTATTATAGTTATTATTATTATTATCATTATTATTGTTATTGTTATTATTATCACCATCATTATCATTATCATTACCATTATTTTTTATCATTATTAGCATCATCCTCGTTCTTACTATCATCAATATCATTATCTTTGTTATGATGATAATTCTTATTGTCATTAGTATCACTATTGTTACTATTATTAATATCATCATCATTTTTATTATTATCTTCATCATCATTATTATCATTATCATAATCATAATCATTATAATTATGATCGTTATTATTATTATTATTATCATTATCACTTTCAATTATAATCCTTACCATAACCATTTTTTATCATGATTCTAATTATCAGTATTGTTAGTCGAAGTAGTAGTTGTATCATCATCATCATTATTGTGTTTATTGTTATTATTATTATCATTATTATTATTATTATGGATGGAGAGACGGATGAATGGATAAACAAACGAATAAGTAAAAGTGAAAAAAACTAAAAATATGCCTCAAGGAGTTTGAAAATCGATCATTCTGTCAGTAACCCCCCCACCCCACCCCACCACCCCACCCCACCCCACCACCACCACCCCACCCCCAATCACTCCTCTTGATGCCACATTCAAAGCGCAAACGAGACCCAGCCCACTAACGAAGTCACGGAGAACACCGAAACAAAATGGAATCTGACCTGTTTTCCTCCTTTTCTTCCTTTCGTTTTCGAGAACTGAAGCTAACTTTCTTAAACCGCCCGAGAAGTTTCTGTCCCCGAACCACGTGATGGCGAAAGGGGACAATAAATGCGGGATTCGAGTGGCTCTGTTTACGCTGCTGCTGGGGAATGGGGAGAACAGGTAGCGAAGGAGGAGGAAGAGGAGGAGGAGGAGGAGGAGGAGGAGGAAGAAAAGGGGGAGGAGGAGGAGGAGGAGGAGGAGGAGGAAGAGGA